ATTATAATGTAATGCAATGAATATTAGAATGATGTATTGGAATGCATTCTCTGGTCTGGTAACAGAGGAGACATAACACGGCACTACAAATCACTCTACCTCAAAGAAAAGAATGCTATTAATTACCCCCATGCTTGAGAGGAGACAGACGGAGCATAACAACAGGGTCTTAGTTAATTACTTACAGCACTCCACAATTATTAAGAATGACACATTTACACATCTATCTCAAATGTTGACATATTTATTTGCTTCACTGTTTACCCCCGAAATTAAATACAAACAATGGTGACCTAATAAACGTAGCTTGTTATTCCTGTTGGCATCTGTTAAAACATTCTCATTATGTTGTATGTTAATTTGCTGTTCAACCTCTGCCTTATATGTATGGACTGGTAAATTCCATTTCATTGTATCTGAGGAAGTGTGCCTTCACACAAAAGCTCATATCTTGAATAAAACTTTGTTGGTCTTAAAGGTGCCACAGGACTCAAACTTTGTTCTGCTGCTCCAGACCAACACGGTTGCCCCACCTGGATTGAACACAAACTTCGTTTGCCACACTGTCACTGAAGCACCCTATTTGTGGAGATTCACCATCCTGAATAATTTTGCAAACTTGATCACAACACTACTCACCCCTCATTCTAGATCATTGAACAAATTAAATAGTACCAGCCCTAACACCAATCCTTGTGGGACCCCACTGCTTATACTTCCCTCTATTGTGAGGATTGTCCATTGATTCCTACTCTTTGCTTCCTGTCATTTAAGCAGTTTTTAATCCATAAGAGAACCCGTCCTCTTATCCCATGACTGCTATGTTTACTCAGGAGTCTCTGGTGAGGTACCTTGTCAAAAGCCTCTTGAAAGTCCAAGTATATAAATGTCGACCTGGTCACTGTAGCCTACGTGCTTGTTGACTTTCTCAAAGAACTCCAAAAGGTTGGTGAGGCAGGATTTCCCTTTGCAGAAGCCATGCTAATTATCCCTAAGTAGGCTTTGTTCCTTTATGTGCCTAATAATCCCATCTTTGATTACAGTTTCTACTAATTTGCATGGGATAGATGTTAGGCTGACTGGCCTGTAATTTCCTGGTTCCCCTCAGGATCTCTTTTTAAAAACTGGTGTAACATTTCCTACTCTCCAGTCTTCTGGTATAGTAGCTATATTTAATGTCATTTAGTTCCATTCTCTGCCCTCAGATGTTGTTTGGGGTTCTAAGGAAGGGCACCTTTTTACATCTCTTCATGTACCTGAGCATCCAGGCCATCTACGTCAAGGTAATCGAGTCTATGGATACTTCCAGCTTCATAAACGCCTTCAGAAGATTCCTCCTCGGCATACGTTGGCCTGTCAAGCCACTCATGTCTGACCGCAGCACGAACTTCGTGGGAGCCTGTAGAGACCTGGGAATAAACAGAAGCACCGACCTTGCCTCAGCGCTCAGCAACTACCGGAGTGCTCAGAACTGTATGTGGGTATTCAATCCTCTGCGTGTGTCTCACATAGGAGGCGCGTGGGAGCCCACGATCAGCATCGCACACAGAATTTTAGACTCCATGCTGGCAAGAACACCTTCTCTCACCCACGAGACTTTGACCACCCTCCTAGCAGAAGTATCTGCCATCATCAATGCCAAACTTTTGGTTCTAGTGTCTTCAGATCCAGAGAACCCAACCATCCTGACACCAGCCACCCTGCTGACGCAAAAAAAACAAAAAAAAAAAAACGGGTGACTGACCAGCACCCCAAGGGGACTTTGTCACCAAAGACATGTACAAGCAGCAATGGAGACAAGTTTGTCTCCTCGCTAACACCTTCTGGAAGCGATGGAAGCAAGAGTATCTTCCGACTCTACAAAGCCAATGTGTAAGTAGGAG